CCCGCGGGAAGCATATATTTTTTCGTACATGCGTTTCTAGGCAATCCATGTAAACAACGTGAGGAATAGTGCTGACCGATTCCGGCTGGGATGTCATATTTCACCACATTTCCGGCGCACAAGTTACGTATCGAAAACGTGTTTCTATAACATAGGTTGGACTTAAGCATCACAGCATTACTATGGGGCTTGGGGGATGTCTACATTTTGTGTGGGTCTTTCTTTGGATTTTGTTGTGCTGCTATTGACTGATCATCCCTGCGTGGGGCAGGCCTTGCAGGCTGGTCATGCTCAAAGAGGTAAGTTTTGGGTGTGATCGGGTAGATTGGGTCTGGTTTTAAACAGTTATTGTGTATCATAACATTTGTATTGGCCATGTGTGTAACCGCCCGGAACTCTAAGTGCATACCCAGTAATTTTGCTGGTACTATATGGTACATTATGTTGTAATATACGGTGGTGTTCCTTTTTCTTGACATACTGCTATTTTGATGGAAAATTGGCTATTTTAATTAATCTGACAGTGAATTTGGCAAAAAAGTGTACAAAGCGACAAAGTACAAAGCATACAGTGATAGGAAGTGATGCACAGGTTTACTAACTGAAGCTGTCATAACACGAAATGTCTGCATCCAGTCAGAAAAAATAGTCCGTTTCGCTGGACACCTACAGGACATCGGTGCCTGGATCTTCACATTGGAATGTGAAACTTGAGCCAGGCCAAATCACACTGAATCGTCAAATTATTGATGTGTGAAGGGATTTTTCGGCATTTGTCTACCTGAAACTACCTTGGCGATATAACGATTCGTTGAAACATTGGCTCTGTTACCATTGGATTTGGTGGCACCTGTGTGCTAAACTATGAGGTCTTGGATTTAGAGGGTGTGTGCTTAAGTTGTTCCCATGATGTCACTGCTTTGCTGTACATAATCTCTTACCCCGGACATGTCAAACATTTGTGTTTTGTGCAATCTGGGTTTATATTGATGTTACCATTTGTTACATTTAAATGATTTTCTCTCAGAAATAACTCGTTGAATACATGTGCAATAAGATAGAACATAACAAGACTATTTTTCAACACCTATATTTTTCAAGAAGCACAGTGCATTGAATTTTTGCTGATGAATTTAAATGAGCACAACCAGTGATGACATCTATATTTCATAATTTTGACATGTATGCTTGAATAATGAAATGTCACTGGCTGCTATGAAATAGCGTTCTGGCTTTGGTTCACAAAAACCCAAGTGTAACATGCTCATGGTTCCAGCATGCTTTTAACATGCTTTCAAATGAATACTTGTGGTCTCACATGCCTATTTACAACTTAGATGTAACCATTGATTTGTAGATAGTAAAATAGGAAACTTTCGAAATCTGTGCAGACCCTGACAATAGACACCAAAAATAAACAATCATTCCCGCTCATGCATTCTAATGCTTGCTGCATGGTACTAAAGGTTATGGGTGCAGGAGATACAGATGGCTCAGCCAAAAGATACTGATGACCACAACTAAGCGTGGGGTTAGAAATACATGTCCCAGGAGCATCAGCACAGAAGTACATCTCGCTACTGCATCCTAGTACCAGATACCCCGTGCGTGGAAAGGGTTGCCCAAAGTATGACGGCTAGGATGAAAGGTTTTGAAGTTATGTGCAGAGTGTGAGATCTCAAGGTGATTTGCTACAGAACATCAGCACTCTGGTCATTGTTCCACCGTCCGTGTTCCTCACATAAGCTGCACTACGTTTTGCAAAGAATACTTGCAGTGGGTGTTTATGATAGGTCAAAACATGTTGAGAAAAACTGTGGGAGACTTAAATGTTTTGAAGGCATTGAAAGTTAAAAAATGACATGGCTTACAAACAGGATCACTCTGAAATAGTTGGCCAGACACCATGTCAGCCATGATAAGGTCAGCCATCTCTGTAGATTGCATATAATTTTGGGAGGACGCATCTTACGTTCTTCCAATGACAGCCGACTTTCAGAGGATTATTTGAGTGTTCTTTCTTGGCAGGACGACGTGACACACCGTCTGGATGGTTTGCCAGGGCGGCGGCCAGCCCCGCCATAGAGCCGACGCCAGGACCGTTCAAGAAGGCCGCTGAGACGTCAGCCCTTCAGCCCTTCACGGAGAACATAAGGGACCGAGTCGATGACGACAGCGATGGCGATGACTTTGTGGATCCCCCGTCACGTCAGATCGTTTGACTTGTCGACGCCCGCGGTGGTCCGCAGCGTCCCCCCATCCCCCACCGCCTGTGGCTAACCCAACGGCCAGTGCGCACAACACCATGTCGGATCTCCTAGGCAAGATGCAGAAGTCCATTCTTCAAGATCTAGACGATCACCCTAAGCATGACCCGACATGGCACAAGGCGCTGTCGGCATTCATGACTAACTGGTGCGCCCCCACGTCCTCTGTCGCCCCCCCCCCCCCCCCTGTCAGAGCCAGCTCTATGCGCGATGTCAACTAGGTTGGCGGAGAAGCGTGGCCGCCACATCCCCGTCCCCTGGCCGGAGAGGCGGGAAGCCTGTCCACTTCGTGGACGGTAGCGTGTGCTCGCTGGTCGTCCTCCGAAGACCGGAAGGGATAATCACCCGCACCAGCGGTATCTGGGACAGCGTCGTGCCGCAGCGCCGCACAGTCTGAAGGGCTGCGTCGAGCAAAATCGAGCGCAGGGTCGCAGAACACGTTATGTCAAGTTGAGGTCATGGAAGGGCAAGTTGGGTAGTTAAGCAGACAACGCACCATATAAATGTTCTCATGCAGGCTGTTTTCTCTCATTTCAGTGTTATGATCATTGCATGTTCCTCAGATGCCTTGTCCTGGAAATATCCCGGCCTCTCAGTAAATGCCTATAGCTACAAGCTTAGGCTTAGTGGGGCTTTACTATCTGAGGCCTTTTTAGTCGTTCCAAATGCAGAGTTTCAGGTGATGGCAGGCATCTAAGTCTAAATGTGCTTGAGTAAGTCTGCAAGATATCTGGTGTGTGCATGTATTGAAGAATAGAGGTGGTGCACACAGGAACCTACAATGTTTATCATGGGGCGCCCAGCCGCTTCCTGCACGCCTGTACCGGGTGCCGGCCGGCTCAGGCTGCTGCTGTGCGTAGGGCTGGGAAGGAGTTCGATTTAACCTTGATTAGTCTTCGTCTTCGTTATGGCTATGGAAGCGGGGGTGGCTTGATACGATTATGTGCGACGATGGTATGTGATGGTGTATTTGATGGTTTTATGATGACGATGTGTTTGCCTGCGGACGGGAAACTGTACGCTGTGCTAGGTGTAGTCTCCTTTTTGGCTGCATAAACCACTTGGACAGCTTGTGAATGTTGCTTTACTGTGTTTGTGAGAAGTCCTTTGGACGGAAGGCGTTATGTCTGATTTAGACGGAATGTGTCTAAACTGTCGTCGTCTCCTGTCAGCTAAGGTGTTTTCTGTCGATCTGAATACACTTGCATGACGTGTTGGAGCTGATGATCTCGTTCATATCACCGTCCACGTTTTGTAGGTCTTCGAGTGTTTAGCCGAGATTATTGTGTGAGGGCCACTGTACCATTGCCATAAGAAGTCAGCGATGTCCGGTACAGTGCACCATCTCATTTAAAGGCTATGTCATTGAAAGAGTACAGCCGACGGGGTTCCAAGAAATGATGGGAGGTGTCAGCTGACGTAGCGCGAGACCTGTCTGCTCCAACTCGGATCCTGTGCATTGGGTATTATCGTGGGATCATCCGGGATTCCGGTTTTACGTCGTTCTTTATACAAGTTAGGACATGGAATAAACTAGCAATCTAGGCACCTGTATAACTAACATGGTTTAGGTCCCGCTGCTTTCAGAACGGATATCCAGGAGCGTGTGGAGTTACTAATAATGTTTAGTGGTCATAGGTTCCCATCAGAGCTCTGGTTTTACCGAATTTGTTGAGGAAAGCATTGAGCGCGGGATTGACCGACCTGGGGCGCGGTAAACATGAGGTTTGGATGCAATAAATGAATGCAATTGAATCTAGGTCTGGGTCCAAATGTTCATTTCCTCAATCGTTACATTGCATGCCCATTCTCTCCTTATGTGGGTGCCTTAGGTACATTTATAAGAGTACATGTAGGTTCCTATGTCTTTATGTTTTCCTTTGGTATCTGAAGACTGAGTGTCAAAAGCGGGTCAGAAATTGGATATCAGATCGAAGATATTGCATCGTCCAAAATTCCTCACGGAGGCCTGCATTCCGCGGGATTTTCATCAGTATGACGTGCTGTTTTGTAAGGATCCACGTCTTTACGGCAAAGTAAGCAGCAAGAGAAGGGGCCGGGCATAAGATTGCTAGCCCAGCTGCGATTTGTCCGCGGCCCGAGAAGTCGAGGCCCTCAACGAAATACGGTCTTAAGGCCCTGGACCACGTGGCGATCTTATGACCATTGGACGGCAGCTGTTGACGTCTAGACTTCTTACAAAAAAAAGCATAAAAATAGAAGGAAGAGGCAAACGCAAAACAGTTGGGGAAGTTTCGCTGCATTTCCATCGCTTTCATCCAATATATGCTCGACAATGCAGGTTTTAGTGGCCTCAACTTTCCCGCTCCAAAACCATGTTTCTCCTTGTTCTTGAAAGCTAGTTGTTGGGCTACAGTTAATATAACCGTATTTACAAAATGATATTACAGATATATTTCTCATCACCTCTGATATTTGGTAAGACAAAACGTTTTTGCGAGAGCATCAATAGCTGGGACATTTCGCTCAGCACTATTTCTAACACCACTGTTGGCGTTTGCTAGGATACGCATTTACGAAAAAATATATGCCTGCGGGAAACCGCCGGTGGCGCGGCGTGGTGCCCCCCCCCCCCCCCCCCTCCTCCCTCTCCCCCGTCCGCGCCTAGCGCCCCAGGGTAGCCGCCTGTGGCGCCGCGCGGCCACTCCCCGTCCGTGCCCAGCGCCCGGGGGCAGCCGTCGTTGGCGCCGCGCGGCCGCCGTCCGTCCGCGCCCAGCGCTCACCAGGTGCTCCAGCGCGTGCTTCTTGAAGGCGAAGTAGGTGACAAAGAAAGTGGGCGGCACGGACACGCCAAACCAGAGCCCGATCAGCGTCAGTATGGTGAGACATGGCGGCGGTGCAGACGAGTTGTGTGCCCACGGCACGAGGTTCAGCAGCAGCGTGATGCTGAACACGATCCTGCGGACGGATGGCAAGCAGGGGCTCAGTGGGAGCACCAGAGACGCATTCCACAGCGGCCCGACCCCACCCCCGATAGCTACGGCATCCAGCGGAACAGACGTCTCACCTGACCCCTGAGCACAGTGATTTCTCTTTTGTGGGGCACAGGCAATGTCAATTACCACGATTACGTTGGCCGCGTTCACCCACTCTGCTGTGATTGCGAGCAGGACTCAGCGGCACAGCCTCCCACACACAGCGCATCATCAGCCGATTCAAACGTGGCAATTTTCCAAGCTTGGTACATGTCACGCCCAAGTGTGCTTCCATCAAGTTCTGAATCTACAGCGACGCCAAAATCGCACAAATAGGATGCACACATGAACGGTGCAAATTCTGTGCCAGCGCGGCGGGTGGGCGCGGCCCGGCGCCGACTCGTCCACGCCGGCGCATACCCAGCCCGAAGAGAGTGACGGCCCGGTGCCGGCAGCGCGGCTGCAGCTGGGCACGGCTCACCCCAGGCCAGGGAGCTAGAGTCGCTTTTGAACTAGGGTGGGAGTGAAAAATTCCATCGCAAAATGACCATGCGGGAGTGAAAAAATCAAGTCACAAAAGGTGGAACTAATGAACTCGTGACTGATGCTTCAGCAAACTAAGACATCTATTTCAAGTTGGCATGGACGTAATATCAGGAACCCGATAAAACTACTTCGTTTTTTACATCTTAGGCCATCAAAGTGAAACAGAATATATTACCACGCGCTCGGTTGGGGGAGCAAGTTGACCCCTCCCCCCGAGGGCTTTTCCCGAATAGTTTCTGAACGGCGCGGTGTAGCCGCTTGCGTAGTTGCAGAAAATTGCAAAGCAGATCGTTTGACATACACATTTTAGATGTAGCTTGTAAGGTCACTGACCCCCCCTGACCCGGGTCGAACATTTTGCCTTAGAAACATATTGCAGGTCAAAGTTAGGTCATGGTTTCAGCGAAGGCAATTTCTAGGGAATCGTTCAATCTGATACAACAACAGAGTGTTTGAAGAAGACATACATCTCTGAGATGCTTTCTTAGCCACCACAAATATTGAATAACCAAATTACGTTGACCTAAGGTCAGGTATGATGATCAGACCAAGGTCAAAACCAACCTGACTGGGGCTTGCTGTATGGAATAGTTCCTGGTGCTCATTTCGAGTCTATTGAGAGCAGGAACCGCACTATACATCTTCAATCGACTTCTTAGAGATCAGAACAGGCCATTGACCTAAGATGACCCGGGTCGAACGTTTCGTCTTAAGAACATACTGCCTCGCGTAATCTTTGTCGCTTATTCAAACGCAAAACGCAGAGCAGGTTTGTATCATTTTGGTCACCATGACCTTCAAAGGGTCAAACAAGGTCAATGAGCTCAAATGGGCTTGTGGCCTTTTGCTTAGAGACAGTTGCCTAGGCTCTAGGGGCGCTTTGGAAACCAACCTGGAATTTGACCTTGTTTGACCTTATTCGACTTGAAGGTCATGACCTAGGAGGCTGGAACCTTAACCTAGGTGAGTTCACGTATAGGTCAAGACATTTTGTAAATTTGATGTCTCTAGCTTTCTTAGTTCACGAAATATCAGAGGGGGGGGGGGGAATTGACCCCCACCCACACCCGAGCGAAGGGTATCTAGCCGGTCAACCCGGCGCGTGCTAAAACATAGTAATTTCAAGACAGTATTATGAGCATAGCAAATTATTAACACCCATAATTTGATGCTGCACTTTTCAATTCCCTTCCAGAGTACTTTAAAAAAAAAACAATGCAAAGGAATTCAATAACAAAATAACAAAAGAAAATTCAACAAGCATAACACACTAAAACAAAAGACCTTGGACTCCTACGCATCAGCCCATCACCCAGTCAAACACAATAGACATACTTTTGGCCTCTGTTAAGATGGGGTCAGGGAAAAAAACTATTTTGTCATTGTTTCTTACAAAATACCAGTGCATGTTTCCATGAAAGTAGCCTATGCCTAAGCTGAAGAGCCCTTACATCATCTCATCCTGTACAACCCGTTTGTATCACAGCGGCAGTTTTGAGTTACTGATTTTTGCACAATTCCTATTGCCACTTGCCATGCACTTGACCAACTTAACCTAACTTAGAGTAGCCCATATCATGAACATCATCTTAACTCATCTATCTGTTGACAGCGGCACCTGTGATAAAAACATGATATTTAAAGCTAATTTTTGGCGGGTTTCAAATTGCATTTTTATTAATTTCATTTGTGTATACTTGCTGCCATCAGACAAAGTTGACAACACACAAATCAAAACACTTTAAATCACTTTGAAAAACTTATTTGATTGTCATGGTTAATCTATGTCAAGGGCAATAATGGGTATGCTCCACAAAACAATTTCTCGTCTCCAAAACTAACGTAACTTTTAGATGACCATGTCAGTATTGCTGCTTGCCTTTTCGGCTGCAGCAAACGCATCTATTCGGGCTTGTTTCCTCATATCTAATGACAAAGTTTGAGATGTTGGCTTCACATTTTAAATGGGGTGGTCTGACTACTTGTTACATACCAATATTTAACTCGTATTATAACTGCTATGCAGCTGAGAGTATCCATGTGTTAAAAATTTCGTGCATATATACAGTATAGTCATTTGCCGGTCAGCAAACCATGACAACTGTAGAAAACATCTGGTTAAAGCAGCCATGAGGGGCCATTTTAAGAAATTTGGGGCAAATAACCAAGAATATGGAACAAAACAAGACCATTGCATACCTTGTGGCATCATATTTTGTCTTATGGCAAAACTCGATATATTAAAACAGAAAATGGCTAACTCTAGTTACCAATCATGTGGTGAAAGCAGGTAAGGTAAGCAATTACTTGGCCCACAGGAGACTTACTGGCTTCTTCTTGCTCCCCCAGAGACAAAAATTCGGTGCCTTTTGCATGTTCTGCTGGCAGACAAAGTCCTCCGACCCACCCCCAAATATAAATATCAATCATGCCCACCAACCTTCGAGATTAAATCCGAAACAAGTAAGAGGTGTGCATGATACACATCTTCAGAAGGCAGAATTTCGTCATCAAACACTTCGGTATTAGCTGCGTGAGGTCTGTCCCAAGGCTGTATATGGCAGCATTAGAATAGCCTTGCCAGGTAGCCTGGTGGGGCAGACACTCGAAAAGCTTGGATTTATCATTTTTGAGCACCGCTATGAACCAAGAAAACGCTTAGCCGAAGGTTTAAGAGGGCAAAAATGGCGGCAAAAATAAGGTCCGTGCTTCAAGTCTTCTCCTTCATTCCATGTGAATTGTTCACACTTGGGAGCATATCAAACATGTTTGGGCGGCTTGCGAATTAATGCAATTGATGTATTAAATACGTGCAAGTTTGCAGTTGGAGCATCTTCCAGAGAAATTGGTCAAAATTTTAAGCAGCACATGGTACCTCCAAAGACAATCGAAATGGAAGGAAGAGTAAAGTGGTATCACACTGGTATGATACCAAGAAAAACAAAAGTAGCTAAATAAATATAAAGACTGGTACTTTTCTCGCAACATTTTGTAATCGCCTGATTTGACTTAAAATCTGTTGATATAAGTGCTCAAATGGTGATATTCTTCTTGTAAGCTTGATTTAGAAGACGTTTCTTGAACTTTTCACTCATGCGTTTCGGCAGTGATGCAATTTAGTGCCAAGTTTCCTCAGGAAAAAAATAAATACGTGGAGTAAAATTATCTACCAGGCTTTACTGGTGTTTGCACTAGGCTCCGGTTTTGTCGTGTGGTGGTGAGACCAAAAAAAGTTATTGGGCTTGGAGCTACCTGGCGCCCTTGCTCTGTGCAAACATAGGCATGATTCAGATGTAGGTGGGGCAAGACATAGCCATAGGTGTCCAGGTTCTGCGGAGCCTCGTTCATGCTTGGTGGTTTCAAGTGAGCTCGGTTTTGGGTGACATCTGAAAACCTCAGAAAGGGAAATAGGGGTGTGGCATGTGCGATTAGACAATGCCAGGCAGGAGTGAAAAATTAACATAAAATATGGGGGAAGGGAGTGAAAAATTCCTCCTCATAATGTGTAGATTTACACCCAAAGTCGGCAATTCTAGGACACTGCCCCAGGCACAGCGTCAATGTCAGCAGCACGTCGAGTCCCCACTTTTCGCCGCCACTTCCCGACTTATAGATTCGGGCAGACACGTAGCCGACGGGCGTACCCAGGCAGGCGCACACCACCAGGCCACATGCCATCAGCAAGCCGCGGTTGACCGGCGACAGGAGGCCCAGGCACGCGAACACTGCAGGGGCCGGTCATAGACCACCACAAGACGCTGATATGGATGGTCGAAGTTCAGCGCCGGTACTGGTGCAGGAGGTCAGAAGCCAGCGCCGGCGCTGGTACAGGTCATCGACGCAACACAGGCAGGACAAAAAGCAGTTGATTGAGGGAATTATGCAGTAGATTTTAACTTCTCGGATTAATTTTCAGTACACAATGAACGGCATATGTTTACGTCATTACCTTATTCAAACGCGTTCTCAAAAAATAAAAAGTCCTTAACAGCAACAACAAAACACATAGGCCGCCTGCTCATCACACAGCGCAGAGCACCAAGTCAATGTAGTTAATCCCCATCAAATGACGGGTGCCGCACAGTCCCGGCAATAATGCCACATCTCGAAAGAGCGCCAGACGTGAAGACAGTGTCATTGCAGTGTCAACCATGGTGCGGACAACCATCACCGCGGGGCCGGCCCGAATACGGCTCAGGCGCGAGGGCCACCATAGCGGCCGCAAGTCATTCACCGAGTGTGATGAGCGTCATGGAGAGCAACTGGACACCAGGGCCGATTAGCACGGGGAGCAGCATGCCGTGCCGAGGCGGACGGAACACGTCGCCGTACACCACCTTCCAGCCAAAACCCTCCTGAGAGTCGTCTCCCGGCTCGATCTGACGGGCAGCCCGCCGACTGTCACTCCCCAGCCCCGGGCGGGGACGGCTGTCACTCCCTAGCCCGGTCAGGGACAGCTGTCATTTCCCAGCCACGGCCAGGGACGGCTGTCACTCCGTATTCTGATCCAGCCGGCCCACGCACATGAACCCAGCTATCAAGCTGCAAGACCCAAGATGCCCGACAGCTCTGCTACATGCGGCCAAGAAGCGGACCCATAGCACAGCTGGCTGGCTGCCAGTAAGGCCCAGCACCCAGCAGGGTGGCGGGGCAATGCCACGGGGCGTACCGCGGCCACGCCGTTCACCACAGCAGCGTCACAGCGTGGTCTGGCTGTGGCTGCACGAGCCGTGCAATCCCGCAGCACGCTCAAATTGACGAACTGACGAAAAATAACTCACACTTGAGCTAAAACTCAAAATCCAATCCCAAAAGAAAACACTCTGACCTGGATTCTGGTCTTGGAGATGGTGTATACGCTGGAAGCACTGGGGTGCCTGGAACACCTTCCCTGTGCTGAAAACAATTAAGGACATCAACTATCATGATCAGTAAGATTAGCAATGAACAAAGCTGCCACACAACGCACAGGTTATAGGGCAGCAATGTTACATGTGCTCCAAGTATAACACAACAATGTTTTACTTGCATCATATGGCTGTTGATGTCAGAAATGAAGACCTCAGTCAACTTAGGTGATATGAACCATTGATATCACACCCTTTAAGACAAACACATCATAAATCTACCCCAATGCTACACAGAAAGCATGACTGTGCCCCGTAAATGTCTGAATGCCCTGTCATGCATTTCACAGTATACTAACTCGCAGACATTTGTTTAAAGACGCCACTCTGAAATGCATGAATGAACGATGACTGAAAGAAGCCATAAAAATCAATGAGACGAAAGATAGCCACAGAAATGTCATGTGTGTTCTTACGTCAACTAAGTTGAAGCCTGAATGCCAAGGCTATAAAAGAAGGGTCCGGCAAAAAAGAAATGAAGAACAGGCATTCACAACCCTGCAGCGATGACACAGCATTGGTCTTCAGTCTTTTCCTTTCAGCTACTAGGCTGGAGAAAGCTTCTGATGAAAAATGTGCCTGGTACACTCCATGGCCAGTAGCCACAACACTATTGCGAGATGCTTCAAGCCGCTCCTGCACATGTGGTTGTTCAGCCGGGGATCTGAAATGATCACAATAATTAGGAAATTTGATTACTTTACAACACAATGGACATCTTCCACTTGAAATGAGTAATGCAAACTGAAAATATCTGCCTACAGGGTGTGTTTTGATAATTGTGCAAAGTGCCAATTCATCAGCAATACAGACTACAGGCAACATCCAGGCTGCCAAACATGCCTGACACATTTTGAAATGCTTGTCATCCCAAAAATCAGCCATTCAAGCTGAGGCGATGCACCCATGAACTGTACGAGCTTTGAGCGTGGTGCATGACTGTCACCAATTTTAGTGAATATTAAGCAAATTTAGTGTTTTGAAATAGTGGCAGCAACATCCAAACAGTACTGTTATTGCCGGAATACTTGAGACTGATAGCCCTGGTCCTAGCCTGACTGCCAAGATTCATGTTAACTTACATATCTGTTTATGTAAGTGATTACGTCAAATAGCCAAGGTCTACCTGCATGAACTTAGTGAGAAAGGTAGGAGATGGAAGCAGGCAGGAATATTTCAACTCCCTCAAAAATGTCAGAACAATGTTACTCCCATATTTCACACACAAAATGGGTAGGAGATATCCCATGCGGAGGTGTTTGACATCACTCACATTGGGCTGTGAAGTGGCAGTGTTGTTATCCCTGTCTAACCACTCTGAAAAACATCAACTCTGCCACACCCATCTAACATCAACAGCTGTGTGCCAAACCTGCGCCCATGTGCCATACTTGGGCCTAGTCAGTTACTCTCAAAATTAACATGGTGTATATTTTTTGTTGTAACGATAAACTACCTAAACAAAACCATTTCTCAAATTGGTGGCAACCGTCAGCTCAGCTCCTAGCACTTGCACCCGCTGTTCATCTACCGCGCGCATCTGCTTTTCATTGATTTTGTTTTAATTTTGAAGGCATTTTTGGCGGACATGCTATAATTGCATTCCCATTCCTCAAACTGACAAAAATTGAAAGCGACCACACACCGTACTCGAAACTGCATGCGATATTGAGACGTGCACACCCTGAGCTTATTGCTGCGATGTCGGTGATACGTCGGACATATTCGGCGTGAAGCGTTTTTAACAGATTGGGAGCGAGGTACTTACGCGAACACAGTCAAGTGATTCTCGTTTGTCCTGCGATCACCACACACACACCACACTTTCTGTTGGCATCTCGCACCGACGCAAACAGGGAGTGGGGGAAAATACCTCGTCGACGAATGCCGCACAGTTCGAAATTGCTGACGTTTATGTTCGCGACACACATTCAGCGGTAACATCTTACCAAGAGTCAATCATCTTCCGCGGACTGTACCACATGTGCAGCATCATCGACTTTGCGAATGTATCAGCGGCCATTCCGTATTGACCATAAACAAAAACAAAAAAACACCCTGGGATATCACGGGGATCTAATGACGTTTCTATGGCGTCATTAATGAGAAGGCGATTTTGAAGTTGGCTGTAAATAAGCCTTTTCTTACTTTGCGGGTGTGTAACTCAGGAACCAGAGCGTTTCGGGTCCTAAAAAGGGCATATCCGTGAACTGCGTCAAAATGTCCTCAAGGTGGCTAATTCAGTTCAAAACGCCACACAAATGTGGAACATTCCCTATAAGGGAAGCTTTGTTGGGCTGTTTGACGAACGCAATGCAGCGATCGCCAGCTTTTAGGGTAGATTATTAATATCAAAGCTCAATATGCTGTGAAGACTGTCATATAGCGTCATAAATCTCTTACCGAAACCTGTCAAGAACTGTTGAGGATATCAATGCTATATTGTCGACAATACCTTGCTTGCAGTGCTGTAGTCCTGATATTGATACCATGTGATGTGCACAGCAGTTATTTTGTTATTTGTAACTGGAAATGCATTTGCCGGCCAAAATCAATAATTATGTAACATTGTAATGAATTAATTGTCAAAGCAGCGCTACTTCTTTGGTAAAGGTGGTAAGGTTGGGTTTCCAAGAATGCTTTGCCTGCTTAGGATTACTTATCCAATTACTAGTTAACCCTGATATGACCATTGTGGTGCAACAACATTCTCGCTTGCGATAGTCCTTTGGCATTGTTAAGTCAGTTGTTACAAGTCATTCATAACTTATAAACTGTTATCTGATAGGCTTGACATAAAGTAGTCAACCAATGTGGTACGTTGCGTCTGGCACGGGTCAACAGTGTCATCGTGCCACCACCTCAGTGCTGTACTGTGGCATAACACCATAGACAATGATACGGTTTTTGTACTGCAATCCCTGCTGCTTTCACAATCAATTCCATCATGAAAAGATGGGTCAAGCGTGCATTCTTGTAATAACTCCGCATGCGACATATGGATTGTAAAACACGCACGATATAATATACAAAAATCTTTCAGCAAAGCACACAACCATTCAGCAGCATCACTTGCTCAGCCTGTTTGGGGAATGCAGAAAACATAGGTGACAAAGATGCAAACATGTATTCTGCTTCCACAGCTATGCAACATACTGCAGCCATCGGCCACTTCGCTCAAGAATGTTGTTCACACGAGTAATAACACAGGTATGAAAGGAACATATTACATCTTGCGAAATGACATTCAAACCTGCTGACCTTGCACAACGCTGGAGACAAGACAAGTGTATGTGGTAACGGCTAGATGAGCGAAATGCAAGGAAATGATGAAGCTGCCCGTGCGCACAAGGCTCATGATATCACAGCACTACATTTTCTGAATTCTTAAGTGACAGATAATTTTCGAGGCTGTATCATGTGAACTTGTTATACCAAGCATGTGCATTAATGAGCTGTGCCGACCTGTCGCTACCTTATCGATCGCTAGCTCGTTATGTTCAAGCGCAAACCTAAAGAAAGAGGCAGGTACATATAGACAACATTTTATTGGGAGTCATTAGATTTAAAGAATACCAAAACATTGCTCTCTCTCAGAAGTACAAACCTTGCACGCACATTATCCATCACATCAAGATTAATACAAGCCACTGACACGCATCACCAGTGATCACACACATTTTAAGCTCCTGATTCATACTCCAATGTCAAATAAGTTTGATGCCACATTTGCACAACCCGCGGGACTATCAAATTGCAGGTTTTCTCGCAATTTTCCCGGGTCGTCACTTACAATACCACATTTCACCGTTAGCTCCCCTCAAAACAAGGTCCCAATGGGGGTTTATGGTAATACGACTGAAGAGCTCGTACTTTAAGAACACAATTTTGTTGTTCAAGATTTTAATTTGCCCTACAATATGTGTTAAATGTTAAGTAATATATATATATATATATATATATATATATATATACACATATATATATATATGTATATATATATATATGTGTGTGTGTGTGTGTGTGTGTGTGTGTGTGTGTGTGTGTGTGTGTGTGTGTGTGTGTGTGTGTGTGTGTGTGTGTGTGTGTGTGTGTGTGTGTGTGTGTGTGGGTGTGTGTGTGTGTGTGTGTGTGAGTGTGTGTGTGTATATAATTACTGTAGTATACCCTCGATTTTATAATGCCGCGCTAGCCCATAGTCCCGTGCAAGGGTCTTGGCTCCGGTACACAATGCGCTAACCGAGCTGTCTGCAAGGAACATGCAAGTATGAGAAAAAATCCTCGGCAGGAGAAAAAAGGTGGATTTGCCGTCGCATCCTCTTTTTTTACAACGTTCGGTAGAGTAACGTTTTTTCGGTGTTGTCCTTTTTGCAGACAATGGCGTTCTCTTATTATAGCATTGACCTATGGTCTAGAAATAATGAAAAATGCCCCGCTGGTGACGAGTGCCGCCAAACCCGAAAGTGCTAACG